AACCCACACTGCCTCAGTACCTGAGCGGGTTAGATCGCTGACTTCGTGTGCTCGCGATTAGGTGCCTCACTCAGGCAGTGTGGGTTCGAATCCCGGATGGGACTTATAAAAAAATAGTACTAGAATCTGTTCTTTACTAAGAAAGTTTTATCTCAAATATAACATTTTTTACACACATACATTACCAATGAAACCACACATACATTATCAATGAAACCACACATACATTATCAATGAAACCACACACATGAACCAGTTTTGTCATTTTGTTATGACCCTTCATATAATACCGACATTTTTTCAAGTATCTTTTCTTCCCGAAACTGCCATACATATAGATAGGTCCCCAGTACTCCACGCTTTTATAGGCCGTCTATCCAATAGGATCGGGTGGTCAGGCGTGGCTGATTATTTAGAGGCCGCCGTGCTCTTGGTGGAATAATGCTGATTGTGGCATAAAACACTCAATCATGTTTTGGTGGAAACTTACTGATATTCTTAAAGTTATTCGATTGCAACATGTCAACTAGAAATGGCTTATGCCGAACTTCGTTATTTTTGTACCCATCCCCGTTACCCTTGAGCCTGACTGATATACATTCGAGATAAACAGGGGAGATGGGTGGCCCAGTCGTCTAAGGCGCCGCGATTCGCTGTGCAGAGTTGCGGCCCTTGGGCACGCCAGAAACCTATGATTGTGGGTTCGAATCCCGGTTCGCCCCGATTATGTTTCTAGGTTTGTCAGCACCATACCCGTGATCCTGGGTTTCACCGAAGTGGTATACGTCTGAGACCTGCATCACTTCGGGCTTTCCTCCCATATTAAGCTGAAACGCCGTAATATAACTGGAATAATGTTAAAAGCGGCGTTAAACCCAACTCACTCACTCACTCACTCGAGATAAACATGGTATATGGACCCTTCGATGACTTACTCAAATGGTTATAGGCCTTCGACTTATTGTGAAAATGACATAATTATATGAATATATAAGTGTACTGAAAATTTTCGGAAGAATATACTTTTGGTTCATTTATTGAAGAAAATCGTGCGTTATTCTCCGCCCACATGTAAACAAACCCATCGGTCTCCTGATTTGCATCACCCCCACCCAGGAGTGTACACTCTGAATAGCCCCTCCGTGCAGAAACAGTACCGGCGTTTATATATATGTTCGCTGGTGTATATAGGAAGGGCTTTACGATATATATATTCATACCACGCAACTGTATTGGTAAAGGATAGACTATACAATGCATACATTATACCTACACACAAACAAGGTGCGGGAGAGTTGCTGTGACGTAAAGTTCGACTATTTGTGATGTGCATACTTTTATTAGTGTGCGGCGTCAAGCAATAGCGGCACGGGGGTGCGAAACTCGACTTGGGAATGTCCAGATTTACCTCCCGTTGTTTTATACGCTCGCTATTCATGTTGAAGGGCAGCTTGGGCGTGACTGCTCTTTATGTGGGTGTGTTGGCTTTAGGTTCGACTTGATAAACCTGAAACTCGTTAGTGGTATAATTTTATGGCAGATTTAGAAGCATAAGTTCTCCACTGACTCAGCTCTATACAAAGGTCGATAAGATTGTTTACTCGCTGATGTGGTTTCATTTCGATTTGAAGGTCGTGTTATAAACCTTTCGTATTTCGTTCATTCAAATAATACATATATTAACTTGCTTTTAAAATACGTTGTCGTCTTATGTGTGTGTTTGTGTAGGGTAACTTTTCGGGATATTACATTATATGTTTCTCTTGTATATTTTTGTCACGATCAAAAAATACAAAAAAAAAAAATAAAATAAAATAAAAGTCAGCAGAGGAAACATGTAAACAGTATGTTGCTTTTAGGAAAACATCATTTATTGTTTTTACGGAAGTGCTCTACTCGGTGCTTATAAGCTGTGTTATTTGCTGTTTGGTTGGATTAAAGTAAGGATGTGTATCATTCCACTGGGGATGGGGTGGGGGGAGTCACATTGATATTGAGTCGCATTTTTGGCTAAGGGTCAGCAGTCGTACTAATTTGGAGACGCATTATTTTCCAGAATTACGGTATGGCACCAACTAAAGTTAAAGGTAGAATCGTATAGATTTATTAGAGGTCAATTAATGTATGTACAGTTTAATTCATCATATATGTTATACCAATATAAACTGTAGTATAATTAATGGTCATACTATAAACATGTTCTTCTTACAATCATACTCGTATATCGTTTTATATCGATATATGAATTCGGCCTAATATCGCGATGCATTGATGAGTCGTTTCAGCTCTATTGGTTTATAGTGGGTGACTGATTTAAACAAGTGTCGTATCTTAAAATGCGTGGCTATAAAGCGAGTGATTATTGATTTACAAATTGTTTGAATGCGGCTATTGACGATGAGGTGATGATGGCAATGTGATACATACATACATACATACACACACACACACACACACACACACACACACACACACACACACACACACACATACATACATACATACATACAGACATACAGACATACACACACAGACATACAGACAGACAGACATACATACATACATACATACATACATACATACATACATACATACACACACACACACACATACATACATACATACATACATACATACATACATACAGACAGACATACACACACACACAGACAGACAGACAGACAGACAGACAGACACACACACACACACACACACACACACAGACAGACATACATACATACATACAGACATACATACAGACATACAGACATACAGACATACATACACACACACACACATACAGACATACAGACAGACAGACATACATACATACATACATACATACATACATACATACGCACGCTCTCGCTCACTCTCCCACCCACACACATACACACACGCTCTTTCTCTCCCCCTCCCCCTCTCTCACTCTCTCTCTCCCTAACTTTCAACCCCTCCTCTCTCTCTCCCTGTCACTCTATCTCCCTCCTCTCTCTCCCTGTCACTCTATCTCCCTCCTCTCTCTCCCTGTCACTCTATCTCCCTCCTCTCTCTCCCTGTCACTCTATCTCCCTCCTCTCTCTCCCTGTCACTCTATCTCCCTCCTCTCTCTCCCTGTCACTCTATCTCCCTCCTCTCCATCTCCCTCTCTCTCCCCCACACACACTCGCTCCCACAAACATACTCTCTCTCTCTCTCTCTCTCTCTCTCTCTCTCTCTCTCTCTCTCTCTCTCTCTCTCTCTCTCTCTCTCTCTCTCTCCAATACTATAGTCATGCATTTCAAAAAGTGAATTAACTTCGATACCCCATGATCGTTGGTTCGAATCCCCGAACCCGCCCTGGTCATAATCTGGGTCTGTTGGCACCATGCCAGCTCTGTGGGTTTCACCAAAGTGGTAAACGTCTGAGAACTGCATCTCTTCGGGCTCTCCTCCCACATAAAACAGACACGTCGGGATATAACTGAATTACTGGTAAAGGCCGCGTTCAGACACACTTACTCACTTTTTAAGAAACCCTCAACGCCTGTTTAATATGCTCCAAACTAGTTTTGTTTGTTTGTTGTTTGACGCCGCACTCAGCAATGTGACGGCGGTATGTAAATAATCGAGTCTGGACCAGACAATCCAGTGACTGACATCAAGAGCTTCGTTCTACGTAGTTGGGATACGATGACATGCATCAAACAAGCCAGCGAGTCGGACCACCCTATCCCGTTGGTTGCCTCTTATGACTAGGCGGGTTGCTGAAGACCAATTCTAACCCACGGGGTTCCAAACGTGTACATGTATGAATATGACAATAGTCTATGACGCATGCGCAATTTGTATTAAGATACAAAGCTCGTGGGATCCAGTCATTGGACATTTCTTCTTTGTCTGGGAGCGATTCCTGAGACCTGCTGTCTATCATATTTTGTTTGGCACAATGTGTAATTTGCAAACCTCAGTGGTATATTGTGTCCTAGATTTGAGAGCAGGATTATATATGGGACACGTGCCAAAATGGCGAATATATTTGTGGTATCACTGATTAGTATTCCAGTCAGTTCTGAGTGTGATAAAGTCTATGTTTTATGTACATGAACAAATTCACTCGGACGGATATATCCATGACATTGTATTCTTATCACGACGCTGAAACGTGGTTGTCTTTAGATATGTAGTTTTTCTTTCAAGAAAATATTGGTTTAAAGAAACCCTCCGGAATGCCATACACAAAACACATGTATAAATGTAGATTTTACTTGTTTGACTCGTCTGAAGTCGTTATAACGAATATTTGAGAACAGAGAAGACATGAGAGATATATAAATCGGAATGTCGATGATATTCGATAATAACATTAAAGAGATAATGAAAAGAATCTAAAAAAACAGCGTAAAGGTGTATCTGTAAAAAATATATGCAGCATGGGCGGATACAGCTTTTTTGAAAAGGGGGGGGTGCACAATTAAGACCTATTTATTGTCTTTGGTGGTAATGTATACAGAAATAAGGATTTTTTTCGAAAAATAAGGGGGGGAGGGGGGTGCACACCCACCCATCCCCCCCCCCCCCCCCCCCCCCTCCCTCTCCCTCTGTATCCGCCCATGTGCAGATAGTCGATAAGAAAAAGTCTTATTTGGATTTATTGGGTGATGCATGTCACTATAGTATTTCAGTACTTTTTAATGATATTCCTAAACTGCTGAATATTTCTCCCGTTTATAGATATTATATTTATTATATGTATTTGTGTAATTCGTCAATTGAGAGGAAAGATCGAGAACACGGGCTTGCTGTATTCGATAATAACGATCTGTTATCGTTCAATACCACTATATTATTGACAACCTTTAATGAGGATACGACTAACTAGTATCACTGAAATCAATCAATTTATGGTTTTATAGATGCCGATGGTAATAAACCGATATTCTGCACCGCAGCATGACCGATATTCATGAACATACCAACACCACACAAACCGAAAACCAATCAGCGAGCGCGCTCAAGTCACGTGACTCCAAAGGAAGCAGCGCTCGCCATGTTCACAAACTCATGATGGCGAAAGGAGTGTACTGACGTGAGTTAGGATTTTGTTGAGTTTTGACAGAACGTCATGTTGTGCAGTTATGCGATCGACGATGGATATTTCAGAAGAACTTGTGTACATTGTGTCTAGTGCTGGATAATATTTCTAGTGGATTATACGAAGAGGAGCGGCCTGTTTGTTCGTCTGAATAGCACTCGTGCAAGCTTCCATTCATTGTCAGGGTAGAAGATATCCTACTCTAAATCTTCAATTTCAGACGAAAAGTCAGTGGAATAATTATCATCGTCCGGAATTTGTGTCACTGCACAGAAGCTCACCATGGATGGAAATATAAGTGTTGAGAAAGACTGCAGTGCCCTCGGCGGTCTGTTCCAGGCGGTTATCAACGATATGAGGGTAAGTTTGCTCAAACCTAGCCAGCTGGGTTTACTAATGCTACTGTCTCGCTCGACTGACTTGCAATGTACTTTCATTCCCATGTTATTGCACGTTGATTGCGCCAGGGTATACGTATTGTTTATTTAGTATCACAGGTTCGATCACCAATGTTAATTGCATATTCCCACAGTTATAAAAGTGTGAATATTGCAAACAAAGCGATCGTATCCGCTTTGGGCTTCCTGTGTTAGATGTGAGGACTTGCCAATTAACCCTTTGACCTTTGTTTATTGTACTGAAGGGTTAAATGGGAACGAAGCATGTTACTAGTTTGTTATACAACCGTAAGTGTTAAATACCCTGAGTGATTTAACACCATCGAGATTGTCCATAATGGACAGTGTGTCTTTCTTTCAGTTGCACAATGTGTCATTTGTAGTAACATCAGTAAGCTTTTGATGTAGGATAATTTTATGACGGCAGATAATTAATTTATTACACACCTTAACAATTCATTGAAGATGCAGTGTAACAACACTATCAAAGTCATCACAATGAAAATATGTTTATTACAAGAATTACATCCATACAAAAATTTGACTGATTCTAAATTAAAAAATCAGTTATTCATTAAGGTAAACCAGGGTTCATTGTTAAGAGAATGCCTGCAACAATCCTCAACAGAAACAGTCAGTCATATATATAGCTTAACATGCAACCAAGTTGGCACAACATCATGTACTAAGCAACAGACTCATCAGTGTTCAAATCTAAGGATCTATGTCATTACTGATTTATTTGAACTTAAGATATAATATAAAAAAAACAGGGAAAGAGACTAACAGTTTTAATCCACTAGCTAGTCCTTATAATGATAACTTATAGCAAAACCCTTGAATAGGGCAAATTTCTACTAGTCCTTATGATATCTTAACTATTGGGTAGTTTGGCAAGGACGATATGGCTAGTACCAATTTCTAACACTGTATGATTAAGAGGTCAAGCATGCATTTACCGAGATCAAATATGTCCCAGAATGATACTCCTTATTTCAAACACTACTTTTGTTGAATGAACTATTGCTGTATTTTTTATGTGAACAAACTGAAAACAGTCTACAAAGTTTTTCATACACTCTCTATTTATCTACTACTTCTTTGTATTGGGTTATATTTGCATTATTGATACCAACTTAAACTAAGCTATATTTAGTGCCATTGATCGTCTGCATTCACTATTAATGAAGACGTGAGAGGATTTTTCGAAATAGTTTAGTAGGAGGCTTAGGCCAGAAGGGCTCATATAAACAGTGATTAATTTCTTATCAATACATTATCACAAACCAGGTACCATTATAATAGAAAGCTTATCCTTTGTAAGTAGAGTTATGTAATGTCAGCATGACCCACAGACTAGAAGGGTTACTCATGGTGATATCATTATCTGTGTGTAACACATGTTAAGTACCCATATCTTGAACAATTGCAGGCCTATCATGGCTGAAGTTGATTCTTGACATAAATTTGTTTTGAAAAGAGCTTAAGATATCGTAAACATGGTCTATCAAATTCATTACAGGATCAATATACTTGAATTGTATTATGAGCAGACATTTACACTAATATGTCAGAAAATGGCTGGGCATAAGTTTATTTGTAACCATGGTTACATTTTAATAAATTCTGTGTGTGGTTACATCATCTGATCTCAGTGCTACTGGTTTTAATGTTAGGGCTTTTCTTTTGCCCATAATTTTTTATTTGGCTTTTGGAAATGTACCAAATATAGCACTGACATCAACATGTGAGATCAAGTCATGCAATCTCAGAAGGCATTGCCATTGTCATATTTTTGTTAATACTGTTATATGCATTGATTTTAGATTAATTTGCTGCGGCAATAAATTTGATATGCATTATTATGAATTTTGTATAATGGTATTTGTTCAGGTCCTTTAGAACTGTCCACACATGACTAGTTTCATCGAGTGATCAGCAATTAAAAAATAATGGCCCCAGGAATTCTTTTATAATTGATGGCATCAGTAAGCGTATACTTCAGTACCATACAGTTGTTTTTTAAGGATCGGGGCTTGTTTTGTTAGTTCTCTTTTAAAAAGTTATTGATTGTTTTATCAGTTTGATATTGTTCCTGTGTTGACTTGAACATGTTGAATCAGTGATTCCATTGAACATTCTTAAACAAATGCAATGCTTTGCCCTAGTTATTTAAATTTAATGCAGCATTTCGAGGAAAGTATTTGGATGTAGCTTTAGTGCTGGGGTTCTACAAAGCGATCGTATGCTATGGTGATCGTAAATCCAATGTATGCTTTTAACATAGACTTAAGACTGTTGTAACTTTACGATCGCATTGTGGAACAGGTCCCTGAATGATTTTATTTTGTCAAGTTGTTTTTGTTATAAACCCAATATTCTTGATATTATTATGTATTTGTTTTATAACTAGGGCAAGCAAAATCTTGATGCAGAGTCCAGATTTCTGTGAATAATTTAAATTTGACTCAGAGGTGGAGCATGGATTTACCTGGGTCAATCTGGTTTTGAGTCTAGGGGACTTTGGTGATTTGTTGCGATATGTGGTACACTTCACTTGATTTCCAAGAATGTTATTGTTCATGTCGTGTCATTACACAAGCTGAAGCCTTTTGCATATTTTAAGTGGAAATTTTAATCCTAGCTTGAAGCAAATCGACCATTGATACATGTAGTCTGAACTCTGAAATGTCATTTATATCTAACATGCAATCTACAGGTTTAATTGTTTTATGTTTTAATGATTCAAGCAGCCATACTTTCTTGCATCCCTCAGGACTACCAATGTAAATAACTTGCATCCATTCTCAAATTGTCTGTATGTATATGGTAGCACACCACATTTAGCATCCAGTAAAACACTGGTCAAGTGACCATTAGCACTACCAGTGAAATGATGGCCTACATTAGAGATACAGGGCAAGGGCCCCAAATTACAAACAAATGGTGGTCATTTGTATTCTCCGGAGTCACTGACACACGCCCCAGGCGGTCTGTCTTTACTGTGGTAGTCATTCACCCTGGTATTTATGACTTTGGGGTGAGTGAGTGGATGTCGTTTATCACCACAGTCAGCAATATTCCAGCCATATCACAGCAGCCTGTAAATAATGAGTCAAGACAAGGCAAACCTATGGATGACAGTTTTAATGATCTGCCCCATGAAGATCCTGGTTAGAATAGGTCTTCAGCAATCCATGCTTGTTGTGAGAGGCAACTAATGGATAGACTGGTCAGGTTCACTGACTTGCTTAATGCAATATCTGGATTAGAATAGGTCTTCAGCAACCCATGCTTGTTGTGAGAGGCAACTATGCTTGTTGTAAGAGGTGACTAACGGGACCGGGTGGTCAGACTCGCTGACTTGGTTAATGCATGTCATTGTATCCCAGTTGGGTGGATCGATGCTCATGATTGCAATCACTGGATTGTCATGTTCAGACTTGATAATTTATATTTCCGCCATCATATAGCTGAAATAATTCTGAATGCGTCTTTAAACAAGAAACAAACATCATGTCCCGCCTGGGTAGATCGATGTCAATCACTGGTTTGTTTGGGGGCAGTCGTCTAAGGCGCCGCGATTCGCTGTGCAGAGTTGCGTCCCTTGGGCACGCCAGAAACCTATGATTGTGGGTTCGAATCCTGGTTCGCCCCGATTATGTTTCTAGGTTTGTCAGCACCATACCCGTGCTCGTGGGTTTCATCGAAGTGGTAAATGTCTGTGACCTGCATCACTTCGGGCTTTCCTCCCACATCAAGCTGACACATCATAATATAACTGGAATACTGTTAAAAGCGGTGTTAAACCCAACTCACTCACTCACTGGTTTGTCTGGTCCAAACTTAATTATTTACTTTCTGTTGTCATATTACTGGAATATTGCTAAGTGTGGCATTAGCAAACAAACAAACTTCAGCAATGATCCTCATCACAGTTTTAAGAATAGAATTATTTTTGTTACAAGATGAGTTCAGAGGACTACTCACTAGTACAAAACTTATGTCGCTTGTCTTCAGAGTTTGTAGCTAGTCTTGTTTTACCGGCTTGTACTAAAATCACTGCAATGAGAACTGGTAACGTGTTGTTGGTAACGTGTTGTTGCCATCCAATGTTACTAGCCATGGAGGACTACTAGGATTGGATTTCGTAGTCAAGCCGACTAGTGTGAATTTTCCAAGACTGACATTATTGACCAACCATCATTATTTTAGAAGTGTTCAGAATCAAGAGGCTTCCTGGGATCTTGGAGGTTTGCTCCCATCCCATTTGAATCTAGGGACCACATTGTTTTGTCAACTCTTCTGACAAGCATGAGGTACTGGGGACATGTCTTGCCCCGTATTGCCACCAAGGTACTACTTTGAATGGAGGGGTTAAACTTTAAGCTAATAATGTAATGTCCTGATATTTAAAAAAGTCACTGTGAAGTCTCAGGCCATTCATTATCTCTAGCATAGGGCCAAATACAAAGTCTTAAGATTTATGAATATGAAATCATAAAACGAAAATTTAATCCTTCCACATTTATAAGGCTCACAGGAAGACGGATGACACTTTCAGAAACGGAGATACTTTAATCCTGTAATGGGTCTTGGCCGTTTCAAACTTACAGTCACTAAGTCAGTGACGGTAACTGGCATACAGAAAGTCCAACTTAGCAGATGTTGAAATGCTAGCAATATTTTCTCTTTTGTGAAGAAAACTCAACTTTCACAGGCGAAATCTAAATGGCTACATTCAAGGTTTCGATATGGCATGCTGATTTGATACAATAACTATTTCGTTTCAATATGAATGAAGCAGATATAACGGTGAAAAGATATCTTAACACATGAGCACCTCATACACATCGCTCCCTTACTGATCGTGATCTGCATTATTTGGCTTGTTCATGCTGTATTTGAAATTAAGCATGAACGTCATGGGGCTCTTGTCAGAATGCAAATGTTGAAAGGAAA